TTTTTTTTTTTTTTTTTTTTTTTTTGCGGGGTGCCGATGGCCCCCGACTGGTTGGTGCCGACCAGCCGACCGGTTCGCGGGTCGGCAGCCAACCAGTCAAGGGTCGCCGACGGTCGGGGTGTGCAACACTGGATCAGATATATTAAACTGACGAGAAGTTCAGAACAGATATCAGATATTAAACTGATAAGACCACTAACTTATCAGACTATAAGGGCATACTCACACTAGGGGCACTAGGGGTCTTTTTCGCAAAATCACGAAATATGCTGTTCGTTTGCAGTCACACTTTGCCCGCCCCCAGCAAAATCGCAAACAGTGTAGTATATGTCAGCGGCCTGCGGGGTGCAGCAATTTGCGAGGACCTCTAGAGGTCCTTGCAAATTCGCATTTGCATCGTGGGAATTTCTTCAGAAAAGGAAAGGAAATTGGGCGGCGGGTTAGCAACTGTAACGCGCGTCTTCTGCCACTTCTGCTGTCGAATTTGCCTCAACAGCTGGTCACACGCTTTTTGAGTGCATACTTGTCTTCTACTGGAGTAGATTTCCAGTATCCAGCCCTGTTGTCCTCTCTGGCGGAGACTGGAGCCCGTCCGACGGCTTGGCGCAGGGCCTCCGCCTCCCTTCGGCCTGCTTTCCCCGACTTTCCCCCCCGTAGTCTATATTGCGCCCTTGTATAGATGTTTTTTTCCAAGTATAGTCTATGAGTCCGCTCCTCTCCGCGAGTGCTCCGCACAGCCTCCCCGCATTCCGTGCATTGCATCTGTGAAGTGTCCGAAAAAGCACACCGGGGTTCGAACCCTCATGTTTCCACAGAGCAAATGCAACTGTCCTGGAAGTGCCCAACGGACAGCCGCCATGGAGCGAGCGTCTTTCATGGAAATCAGCACGTGCAACTGCCAGTTCCACTCCCAGGTGCATGTGGATTCAGCGTTCGAATCCGGACGTGCTCGCGTTCAGGTGAATACAATAGCTGTGTCTGCTTCTGTGCCACTCTGCACATGCGCAACGTGCACTTCGCCGCGAACAAGTCCGCATTCGAGTGCTGATATCGCTCACATTAGCTGTTGGGGCTGCCCACGGGGTAAGCTGGACAGCCTACTGGGATAGCAGCAAGGTGAGCCTTGTGTTCCAACTTCAAAGTCGACTTCTGCCCGTTCAGGCCCAAACTACATGGGGCAAAGAAAAAGAAAAAAGCTTGAGGGAAACCCCCGACCCCTGCCCCCCCCCCCTCCCCCCCACCCCACCATCTGCTATCAGCTGTGTGACCACGCAGATAGCAGATGCAGCAATTATCAGAAAGTCGCGGTCATGTCTCATTCAAAAGGGTCACCGTGTGTGACCAGGCAGCACACCAAAGTCTCAAAACAGCGGTAGCAAAATTGCAGATTTTGCAATTTTGCTCACTGTGTGTGAGTATGCCCTAATTCAATTTGATACTACACTTGATCGTAGCCAAAGGGCTGAGAAATGTATACTAACTACCGTCTTCACCCAAATAGAACGAACTGGCATTTTAGCTGCATCTGGACTGACAGTTGGGCCAAATACGTTCTGTTTGGGGGAAGACGGTAGGTGTTTTATTGAATGCTCTTCCGGCCATGAGTGTGATGGTTGAGTGCGGAAGTTTGGTTTTTGCACTGTTCGGCTGCGAGCAATTTTGCGAGCGCTGAGCACGGTGGTCTGTGCCACAGACTGAAGTGAAGAACACAACCAAACAATCAGGGAAAATGAATGGACGAAATAGGAACGGAATTGGACAGAAACGTCGAGGAAGGAGGCGGCGGAACCTATCGTCTTCACCCAAATAGAACACACGGTTATTATCGCTGTCTGTAGACTGAAAGTTGCACCAAATACGGTTATAATGACCGGGCGTTCTATTCGGGTGAAGACGGTAGTCATGAGAACAAACAAGTCAAAGGAAGGGAAAAAAAAAAAGGATCATCACAAAGAGCAAGAGAAAGAGGAAGAGGTTCAGGCGTCAGTGACGCTAGGTGCAAGAGTGGATACATGTTAAGCCTAGAGGAGGAGAGAGGAAATGAAGCTTGCAAATTGTATTGATATTGGGGAAGCGAGCCAGTGAATGAACATAACCAAACAATCCGGAAAATAAATGGACAAAATACTAAATAGGGATGCAATCCCGCACAAACGCCAAACTTGGAAGCCGAAGAACAAAACAGCATGGAAGAGCACAAGCAAACAGGGTCTCTAAACCATATCACGACGCCTACCTTACCAAATTGGGCAGCGTTGGTTGTTGTGGGTTTTGGGTCCCATTTACTGTTGGTATTTGTGACCTCTGCAGGTTGGCAAGAGCCTTGGGGGAACTCCATGTTTGTGTGTGTGTGTGTTTTCTAGAACATTTAGCAGAGGGAGAGAAATCAGGGAGTGACTTGCAGTGACAGTTGCCTCTCTCTCTCTCTCTCTCTCTCTCTCTCTCTCTCTCTCTCTCTCTCTCTGTGTGCGTGTGTGTGTGTTTGTATGCTTTTCTCTCTGCTCCTGGCCCCCCTTCTCTCAAGGAATGCATTGTAGCACAGTGCGCTAACCCAGAGATGGAGACTTACCCATCCACGCAGAGAGATTGTAGCATGCGCTTGCGCATCATTGTCAGGAAAGAAGGAAGATGGAAGAGAGAATGATAATAATTTAATAAATCTCACTAAAAAAAAAAAGATTACAAAGTCGACTCTCCTCCCACTTCAGCTTCGGGAGCTCCTTCTCCATTCCGCTTCTGACCATCGACAAGTCCTGTCGAATCAGCGCCCAGCACTGTGTATGGAGACTCAGTCGTTTCCACATGCTATGTGGAAATGAAATGACAGTGTAGCAGACCTCGAACATCAATGGAGACTTCAACTACTGAGCTCGGTTATAAGAAAAAGAAAAAGCAAGAGAAAACAGAAGAGTGCCAGCATGAAGTCACCAGGTAAGCGACGTTCTCTCCACGCACTCGATCTTACCGTCTACCTTCGCTCCCAGCCCTCACTCTCTTGCTCTCTCTCACACCTCACACTTTCAACAGCTATGGTGGCAGCAGCCTCTCTTGTCCTGCATGCAACCTCAACTAGAGCTATGGCTGCCGCACATACTATCTCCACGTCGGCCTGACACACAGAAGATTTATCCAGCGAACAAGTACCAGCATCGACTCGCCAGGCAGAATAATCTACGAGCTTCGGCAGGCCCCGTCCTTATAGGGTCGACTTGCCCTGGCCTGCCGTAGGTTACCTCCTCCTTGGAGTACTGATATTTCACGATCTACATGGACAGGAATCCTCCGTCACGGCCAGTGTGTCTTGTCCTGGCGACTAGAAGCTTCGGGAAACGGTGGCTGAGGCGTTGGATTGGGAGTGATCTGTGGTGGAGGTCAACTTTTGGAAAATACAGTAAATACTTCTTGGTCTCCTGTGCCGGGGTAGGGCGTGGCTGTTGACTTTCATCAAGCCTGGGTTGACTTTTCCAGGCCCTGGGGGGGGGGGGGGTTGACGTCTCTGACAACTTTTTCTGCCCTGGACACTCTTGACCCCTGAACATGGACTTGGAGACAATCGTAGGCTCCTTTTCGAAGGTGAATTGACTCCTTTTTTTTTTTTTCCTTGCAAAATCGGACTCTCTCTCTTCTTTTTTCTTTTTTCTTTTTTTAAACAAAGAAACTCTGCTCTCTTATTGCCACACAAAAAAGTGGAGGCCGGGAATCCTTTGACAAACAACAGGGAAAGGAGCAATACTGGGTCCATTACCCAGCTTAGTTGCAGGCCTTGGGACACGGGGCTCTAGTAGCAGAGCAGAATGGCCAAATCTGGACCGCTGCCCTGACACATCCCAACCCTGGGGGGAAAAAAGATGAAAAGAAACAGAAAGCCTCCAAGGCCTCAAAAGCCGAACACAAGCCAACGACTCAATTTTTTCTTGCAACTTCACTAAGAATTGGAAAAAAAAAATGATAAAAAGGAAAAGAAAGCCTCCAAGGTCTGACCGTCCTTACAGCTGCGTCAACATCCACACAAGGGAGCCTAACTTATCTGGAAAACCACCTGTTCGGGTTTAGGGTCTCATTCTTTCAACATCTCTGTGGCGACCCATTCGCCGTGCCAACATCCATTTACAAGAGAGCTGCCAACATCCATTACAAGAGAGCTGACCTCGAATGGGATCAAGGACCCCCCCCCCCCCCCCGGCGAAACATACACACAAGTTTGGCTGATTTTTTCCACATCTTCAGGACATGGTTCCAGTGGTTAGTTGTTGTCTAGGTTCAGATGTTGGAACGAGGAGCCAGACCTTGCAGTGTCTCCTGGAGATCCCACCTGTCGGCTGAAGGTAATTACTAA